GGAACCCGCTCCAAAGAGAAAAGTTCCACCGCTGGCAGCGCTCTGAGTCCAAATACCCGTTGCCTTGACGCTGTCTGCATCCGCGGCAGCGGAGGCAGTGTGAGCCTGCAATGAACAAACAGAAAGCAGCATTTGGCGCTTCTTCAAACACTGGCCCTGGATCTCACGGATTTCTCCTCATTCTCAAAATGGGATTGCGAATTCTGCGTCAGGTTTTCACCCGGCCTAGCTTTGCAACGTACCAGCTTTCTGGGTAATGACGGGCCCTTTTCAAGTTCATTGAAGGTCTGCAAGTTATTTTCCGTGTGCCCGCAAGAAGCCCGAAAGCTCATTCAAATTCATTCACATATGTAAGCCTGGCAAAGCTCCTTGTTGGCCTAGGTGCCCGTTTACAGGGATCCTAATAAGAGATGTCAAAATTCCGTAAGTTCCATATGTCCATCCCTACCAACCGCAAGTCAAGAAGTCTGTTGAATGCCCAGCGCCTCGAATGCCACAGCAGGTTGAGCAGGCTCTGCTTCTGACGGCTCCCGCGAGTGCTCGGACTCCTGGCAGGTTGATTTGCCGGAACCTTTCAGACGGCCAGCTCCTTTGTGCCTGCCAGTACCAAGTTCCCATCTCATTCACTTGACACTTCAACCCCTGGTTGATAGGAGGGGCCATGTAACAATCTCTTAAGAGAAAAGCCGGACGGAACACGTTTTCAGGAATCCACGCTCGACATGTGGGGGCCCTTTGCGCATGCTGAACAATGGAAAACAAAAGGATACCAGTCACGTGGAGATCTTAAATCTGAGAAACTTTCAAGTGCAAGTGAACGCAAAATGAGTCTGATGATCTGATGTTTGGCGTGTTTTTTTTTTTTTTATGGCCGAGGTTCTCCCTCAACCATGGCTGCCAACGGATCAGCAACCATCCCTAGTTGCCAGAAGCTATTTGCTTTTCAACCCGGACCGTTTTATGCGAAAGAGTGGCACCCCGTGGTTGACCTCGAAGGCAACCCTACAAAAACAGAGAAGAAACGACTAAAAAGAACACTGGAGGCCTTCTGACAACTCACATGCAGCGCTCGGAGTCCAAATACCCGTTGCCTTGACGCTGTCTGCATCCGCGGCAGCGGAGGCAGTGTGAGCCTGCAATGAACAAACAAAAAGCAGAATTTGGCGCTTCTTCAAACACCGGCACTGGATTTCACGGGTGTCTCCCTTTAAACTCATTCTCAAAATGGGAGTCCGAATTCTGTGTCTGATTTACACCCTGAGGCCTAGCTGCTTTCTACCGTACCAGCTCTCTGGGCAATGAAGGGCCCTTTTCAAGTTGAAGGTATGCAAGTTGTTTTCCGCAAGACACCTGAAATGAAAAGGCATTCACATATTGTAAGCCTGGCAAAGCTCCTTGGCATAGGGGCCCTTTACACGGGTCCGAATTGTCAAAAACAATCCGCAAGGGATCCATATGTCCATCCAAGTCTGCTGGCCCCGCGCCTCGAATGCCACAGCAGGCAGAGCAGGCTCTGCTTCTGACGGCTCCCGCGAGTGCTCGGACTCCTCGCAGGTTGATTTGCCGGAACCTTTCAGACGGCCAGCTCCTTTGTGCCTGCCAGTACCAAGTTCCCATCTCATTCACTTGACACTTCAACCCCTGGCTGAAAGGGGGGGCCATGTAACAATATCTTAAGAGAAAAGCCGGAACACTTTTTCAGGAATCTGGGGTGTCGACATTGGGGGGCCCTTTTGAGTGGTGTTAAGGAAATGCAATCTGACAACTCACATGCAGCGCTCGGAGTCCAAATACCCGTTGCCTTGACGCTGTCTGCATCCGCGGCAGCGGAGGCAGTGTGAGCCTGCAATGAAAAAACAAAAAGCAGAATTTGGCGCTTCTTCAAACACTGGCACTGGATTTCACGGGTGTCTCCCTTTAAACTCATTCTCAAAATGGGAGTCCGAATTCTGTGTCTGATTTACACCCTGAGGCCTAGCTGCTTTCTACCGTACCAGCTCTCTGGGCAATGAAGGGCCCTTTTCAAGTTGAAGGTATGCAAGTTGTTTTCCGTGCCGCAAGACACCTGAAATGAAAAGGCATTCACATATTGTAAGCCTGGCAAAGCTCCTTGGCATAGGGGCCCTTTACACGGGTCCGAATTGTCAAAAACAATCCGCAAGGGATCCATATGTCCATCCAAGTCTGCTGGCCCCGCGCCTCGAATGCCACAGCAGGCAGAGCAGGCTCTGCTTCTGACGGCTCCCGCGAGTGATCGGACTCCTCGCAGGTTGATTTGCCGGAACCTTTCAGACGGCCAGCTCCTTTGTGCCTGCCAGTACCAAGTTCCCATCTCATTCACTTGACACTTCAAACCCTGGCTGAAAGGGGGGGCCATGTAACAATATCTTAAGAGAAAAGCCGGAACACTTTTTCAGGAATCTGGGGTGTCGACATTGGGGGGCCCTTTTGAGTGGTGTTAAGGAAATGCAACTACCAGTCAGCTGGAGAGGGTCCGAATTTTGAGAAACACTCATGTGTAAATTGAACACATAGACCTCCAGCTTCTTGTTAGTCGATATATTTGAAGGGGAACCCGCTCCAAAGAGAAAAGTTCCACCGCTGGCAGCGCTCTGAGTCCAAATACCCGTTGCCTTGACGCTGTCTGCATCCGCGGCAGCGGAGGCAGTGTGAGCCTGCAATGAACAAACAGAAAGCAGCATTTGGCGCTTCTTCAAACACTGGCCCTGGATCTCACGGATTTCTCCTCATTCTCAAAATGGGATTGCGAATTCTGCGTCAGGTTTTCACCCGGCCTAGCTTTGCAACGTACCAGCTTTCTGGGTAATGACGGGCCCTTTTCAAGTTCATTGAAGGTCTGCAAGTTATTTTCCGTGTGCCCGCAAGAAGCCCGAAAGCTCATTCAAATTCATTCACATATGTAAGCCTGGCAACGCTCCCTGATGCTATTGGCAGCAATCCTGATAGTTGTCTAAGTTCCGTAAAGGTTCCATATGTCCATCCCTACCAACCGCAAGTCAAGAAGTCTGTTGAATGCCCAGCGCCTCGAATGCCACAGCAGGTTGAGCAGGCTCTGCTTCTGACGGCTCCCGCGAGTGCTCGGACTCCTGGCAGGTTGATTTGCCGGAACCTTTCAGACGGCCAGCTCCTTTGTGCCTGCCAGTACCAAGTTCCCATCTCATTCACTTGACACTTCAACCCCTGGTTGATAGGAGGGGCCATGTAACAATCTCTTAAGAGAAAAGCCGGACGGAACACGTTTTCAGGAATCCACGCTCGACATGTGGGGGCCCTTTGTGCATGCTGAACAATGGCAAACAAAAGGATACCAGTCACGTGGAGATCTTAAATCTGAGAAACTTTCAAGTGCAAGTGAACGCAAAATGAGTCTGATGATCTGATGTTTGGCGTGTGTGTTTTTTTTAATGGCCGAGGTTCTCCCTCAACCATGGCTGCCAACGGATCAGCAACCATCCCTAGTTGCCAGAAGCTATTTGCTTTTCAACCCGGACCGTTTTATGCGAAAGAGTGGCACCCCGTGGTTGACCTCGAAGGCAACCCTACAAAAACAGGGGAAGAAACGACTAAAAAGAACACTGGAGGCCTTCTGACAACTCACATGCAGCGCTCGGAGTCCAAATACCCGTTGCCTTGACGCTGTCTGCATCCGCGGCAGCGGAGGCAGTGTGAGCCTGCAATGAACAAACAAAAAGCAGCATTTGGCGCTTCTTCAAACACTGGCACTGGATTTCACGGGTGTCTCCCCTGAAACTGATTCTGAAAATGGGAGCGCGAATTCTTTGTCAGGTTTACACCCGGCCTAGCTTTGCAACGCACCAGCTTTCTGGGCATTGAAGGGCCCTTTTGAAGTTCATTGAAGGTCTCAGCGCCTCGAATGCCGCAGCAGGTTGAGCAGGCTCTGCCTCTGACGGCTCCCGCGAGTGCTCGGACTCCTCGCAGGTTGATTTGCCGGAACCTTTCAGACAGCCGGCTCACTTTTGCCTGCCAGTACCAAGTTCCCATCTCAGTCACTTGACAAATCAACCCCTGGCTGAAAGGGGGGGCCATGTAACAATCTCTTAAGAGAAAAGCCGGAACACTTTCTCAGGAATGTGGGGTGTCGACATTGGGGGGTCCTTTTGAGTGGTGTTAAGGAAAAGCAACTTCGAGTCAGCTGGAGAGGGTCCGAATTTTGAGAAACACTCATGTGTAAACTGAACACATGAACAAACAGAAAGCAGCATTTGGCGCTTGTTCCCTTGAAACTCATCCTCAAAATGGGAGCGCGAATTCTGCGTCAGGTTTACACCCGGCCTAGCTTTCCAACGTACCAGCTTTCTGGGCAATGAAGGGCCCTTTTCAAGTTCATTGAAGGTCTGCAAGTTGCTTTCCGTGCCGCAAGACACCTGGAATTAAAATGCCTTTCATATGTAAGCCTGGCAACGCTCCCTGATGCTATTGGCAGCAATCCTGATAGTTGTCTAAGTTCCGTAAGGGTTCCATATGTCCATCCCTACCAACCGCAAGTCTAGAAGTCTGTTGACTGCCCAGCGCCTCGAATGCCGCAGCAGGTTGAGCAGGCTCTGCCTCTGACGGCTCCCGCGAGTGCTCGGACTCCTCGCAGGTTGATTTGCCGGAACCTTTCAGACAGCCGGCTCACTTTTGCCTGCCAGTACCAAGTTCCCATCTCAGTCACTTGAAGAGTCACTTGACAAATCAACCCCTGGCTGAAAGGGGGGGCCATGTAACAATCTCTTAAGAGAAAAGCCGGAACACTTTTTCAGGAATCTGGGGTGTCGACATTGGGGGGCCCTTTTGAGTGGTGTTAAGGAAAAGCAACTACCAGTCAGCTGGAGAGGGTCCGAATTTTGAGAAACACTCATGTGTAAATTGAACACATAGACCTCCAGCTTCTTGTTAGTCGATATATTTGAAGGGGAACCCGCTCCAAAGAGAAAAGTTCCACCGCTGGCAGCGCTCTGAGTCCAAATACCCGTTGCCTTGACGCTGTCTGCATCCGCGGCAGCGGAGGCAGTGTGAGCCTGCAATGAACAAACAGAAAGCAGCATTTGGCGCTTGTTCCCTTGAAACTCATCCTCAAAATGGGAGCGCGAATTCTGCGTCAGGTTTACACCCGGCCTAGCTTTCCAACGTACCAGCTTTCTGGGCAATGAAGGGCCCTTTTCAAGTTCATTGAAGGTCTGCAAGTTGCTTTCCGTGCCGCAAGAAACCTGGAATTCAAATGCCTTTCATATGTAAGCCTGGCAACGCTCCCTGATGCTATTGGCAGCAATCCTGATAGTTGTCTAAGCTCCGTAAGGGTTCCATATGTCCATCCCTACCAACCGCAAGTCTAGAAGTCTGTTGACTGCCCAGCGCCTCGAATGCCGCAGCAGGTTGAGCAGGCTCTGCCTCTGACGGCTCCCGCGAGTGCTCGGACTCCTCGCAGGTTGATTTGCCGGAACCTTTCAGACAGCCGGCTCACTTTTGCCTGCCAGTACCAAGTTCCCATCTCAGTCACTTGACATTTCAACCCCTGGTTGAACGGGGGGGCCATGTAACACTCTCTTAAGAGAAAAGCCGGAACACTTTTTCAGGAATCTGGGGTGTCGACATTGGGGGGCCCTTTTGAGTGGTGTTAAGGAAAAGCAACTACCAGTCAGCTGGAGAGGGTCCGAATTTTGAGAAACACTGAGGTGTAAATTGAACACATAGACCTCCAGCTTCTTGTTAGTCGATTTATTTGAAGGGGAACCCGCTCCAAAGAGAAAACGGCAACCGCCTGCTCCGCTCTGAGTCCAAATGCCCGTTGCCTTGACGCTGTCCGCATCCACCGCGGCCAAAGCGGACGCTGGGTGAGCGTTCGTCAGCGCCTCCTAGCTCAGGATTTGGCGGTCCCACGTTTCTCTAAAATGGGAGACACCATCACGTATTCTGCGCCAGGGACAAACCCTGCAGCCTTCCAGTGTCCAACATACCAGCTTTCTGGGTGATGCCAGCTGTTTCTGTGCACCCGACCACCCAGACGACCTGAAAACATCAGGAAGACTCCAGTTGCAACCGATGCCCCACCCTTTAGGGTTGAACATCTTCAGCTGGAAACCAGCAAACAAAAAGCGGAAACATGGGTGCCTCTGACAGGGGTCATTGGATTTCTCTTTCGACAGTGACAGCTTATTGATGGGTTTCTGACAATCCCAGTCCTGCCGTTCCAACATCTTCTCGGCGCTTGCTGCAGCCTCGTCTTCTGCATGGTCCTGCACTCAACATGCCTTCGGCTGGCTTCTGAAGCATGTGCGCGTGCCAAACGCAAACCAGCATTTGAGTCGCAATCAAAACCCGGTATTAAAATGGTCTACCCAGAACCATGCAAAGAATTAAGAAGGCGCATACCCCTTACCCTTACTAACCTTCATCTACCCGGGTTTTGATTGTGGCCCATTTGGGCAGCATAGGAGTTTATTTGTTATTTTTATTTTTTCCGAACACTTATTGCATGTCAGAATTCATGGCGCATCGCAAAGCACCCCCAGTCATGTCCGATGGACCCGCCCTTTCATTAGCCTCCTGCATTAACATCGACTTTCACAGGCAATGGTCGTCTATCCCCCCCCCCCCACCCCCAGTCAGGTTCCAAGCTCCATGCTGGACGTGTGGGCAATCTGCCAGGTTCTGCATAGATGCGGGTTCAACATGACCGTCGCCTTGAAGATCTCGGCTGCTGCAAAGGCTTGCTCAGCCTGCGGATTCATGGGCCAGTGCTGCAAAGTCTCCTGGATCTCACTGCCTGAGTGGATTGACCCAAAACGTCCAAACCTGCTGTTTGCCACTAATGACTCACTAATAAAAATGGTTTTCCCGAGAAGTTTAAAGCCCATGAACTCAGGAAGTGAGAGATTAAGATCCCCAGATCCGTAGCTTTGGGCTCCTTGGCCCATTCAACTCAGGCAAGCCAGCCATCGCCAAACAAGAGGGTGAGACCTAGGCCACTTGCATGACAGGCCAACGAGCAGACACCCACACACATGGAACCAAGCGGACCCGAAGCTTGAGCAAGCGCCAACCCAAACAACCTGGAACATGAACTACTGACTACAACCCATATGTCCTGTTGTATATTGACTCCTATAGTTCTTCAATATTAATGATGTTGATTCCTGTAGTTGCTCAATATCTAGTAATGATGTCACTTAGTCACTAAAAGACAAGAAGTGACAATGCAACACCGGATGTCAATGGAGAACGGTATCAAACTAAAGCAATCACTCCATAAAACAATCAATACACAATAGATATCAATCAGAAGCCAAGCAAAACCCGCAAAACTGAACCACAAACTCCCAGCTTTCACTCCAACTCTTTCTGTGCCAAAGACATTCCCCTCATTTAGCATCCCATGAAAAGCCATAATGGAGTCTCCCCACTTTCGGACAACCCCATTTGCGCCGGCCGTGCAGCTTTTAAATACTTGGGCATCGTGACAAGCCAACCCTTCAGCCCTCGCCCGCGCGCGCCTTAAACGCAGCTGCCAATGGAACTGAGGCATCAGACCCCGAGGGCTCCTGCGCGAGCCATGGCCCCGGGCTGAGACATGGACAGTCTTCCCGTTTAGGCGATCAAAGTGCTGGATGGACGAAATCCATTTCGCACCACCTAAGAAACCCTGGCAATGATGATTCCCCTGTAAATACCAACAAACAATGATTTCCCATGGTGTCTAAGTGGTGCAGGATTTCGTCCATCCACAGTAGTGCTTGATTGCAACATTGCAGATCCATACATGTCCAACTCTTACTCCATTAGGGTTGTGCAGGTACATGGGGGGTCCAATGTGTGTTTCCCAGAGCACAAACTTTCATTCCACAAGGGTGGTCTCAAAGGCTGAATGCACACGTGCATGTCTGACATCAACCTCTGGTATGAACCCCCTAGTCTCCAAATACTCCACCTATCTTCGGGTAGGTACTGACAACCCGGGCTGTCAACACATCCAAACAGGCAAGGTCGCAGGTGTTTCTATGGTCCTGCGTGGGTTTGAGCATCAGTTGCTTGTCTCGGACTTACTGCAGCTCTTGGCGCTCGCTCTTTCCAACTGCACGTCAATAATTGGTGGCTATGAATTTCAACCGGGAAGCCTTTGGATATCATTCTGGGGGTTAGTGTGGTGCCACGACCTGCAACAAATGGAACCCTTGCCCTAGTCCGTCCCAGACGCCGTTTTTAAAAAGCTCTGGAGACGGTCCATCAGGATCCACCGTCTGAGTCGCCCCCTCTTGGCGCAGCAAACAGCCAGCCTCCGGGCGTGCGACCTCTGCTCCGAGGGAGGATGATGCCTCCTGAAATGTGTCCAAGGGAGGAGAAGCCAACATACAAGGGATGGTAGTTCAGCCACCCTGCGTTTTTGCTCGATTCGGGTTCTAAGAAGGGAAACCTTGAGCATCGCCTAAACGCCAGACCTTCGGATCTGTGTCAAGGCCCAGCACTTCTTGCACAGCTGTTGGACGGCTGTTGGACGGCCTTATCGCTGGACGGGTCCACGCTTATCGTGACCTTGGCAGCCCCTATCCTGTTGTGTACTGTATTTGCTTGTCGCAGTTGACGTTGTCTTGTCGTGATTTGGCAGTTCCCTGAGACCTCTTCGGGCTCCCGCAGCTGCAGTATATGTTCATAGTTCGCGTTAACTTGCAGCATGTTTCAATTCTAATAGACACCCCATGTGTTGAATGCAAGTTTCGCACTATATTCACCCAGTTGTTGCTACTTGTTTATCCAATGCATACATGATTCAGAGCCTAATAGTATTAGTGAAATTTAAGTAGTGACCCTCCCATGGCTCTCCTCGGCAGTATTGGATATAGGGAAGCCAAAGAAAACTCACCTGAAGGAATTCCCAAGAGTTGAACGAACCCCATATGCTTTCTGCTTGAGGCTCGATACCTTTTTTTGGGGTCGTTCAGGCAAAAGAAATGATTTTCCTTTTGGAAAACCCATATGAGTTTAGGGAACTCGGACCCGCCGGATTTTTCTTTGTCGGGCTCTGTGCGGTTGGTTTACTTGCTTTGTGTAGACAAAATATACTCAATGCGTATACATGTGTATGTATGTGTAAATCTATATATATGTATACAACACATATTCATATACATAGGTCGGCCATGGTCGGCCCCTGGTGGGAAACCCATCCAACTCAGCTCGCGGACTCCTGAGCTGCTGCCGCGGCTCTTTCCAGACGCTCCAGCTCCTATCGACTCAGTCGCTGGATCGGCCGAAAAACCGACGCGTGGTTTTAAGGCACTCGGAAACCACGAGGAAAAGGTAGTGACACAAACAACGGGAGGAAAAAAGGGGCCTCCTTTGTGGGAAAAAACAAAAAGAACACGCCAGCATTGCGGGAGAGAAACCACTTTCGGCCAAACTCTCTCTGATGCTGCTTCGACTGCTCATGTTGGCAACATTCAATGGCCAAGGTCAGTTTTGGATGCCCTTCTCCAGTTTTGAGCAATCAAGGGCGCTTGGGTCTATGGGGCTGTGAGTGGTTGGTGGCAACCCAAGGTCGCAGGAAATCCTGCGGGGGTAATGTTCCAAAGTTGGCTCAAGGTTTCCCAGTCTATTTCACTTACGCAAATATCAGCCTTTGACCAGCATGCACCGGGCATGTTTGCATGCTGATAGTGCGGGCGGTTGTCAACAGCCAGGGCTAGGGCCCTTTGTGTGATCTTCAAAGGAGGCTGGTGGACAACAATTGGAGAGCTCTCTTGCTCTTACTCCAATCACTCAATACCCCTCCGGTTGAGAATAAACGGATGCCTCCACCACTAAGACACCGCCGAAACAACTCGTTCAAACCAACCACCTGACTTCCAGCGCTTCCCCTAAACATCAAAGAGAACTCACCTGAAAATTGCCCACATGGTCGCACGCTTTTCCAAAGGAAAGCGCAATAATAATTGTTCGGGGACGGAAGTTTACTTCAAACGGTGTCTTTTTTAGGGTTCCCCCCCCAAAAAAAAACGGAATCCAGTTTGCCTTTTGGCTTCACTTTGAATTAACCATTGTCAACAAAAACACCCCCCAAATAGATGATGCTTAAACCAAGGGGAAATACAGGACTCGACCCCGCTGGGCACTTCACAATTTTTCTTTGAGGGTACCCTCCTCTCCATTAATGTGGAACCTCTGGCCTCCCTGGTTAAAATGTCTTGGGTCCCCCGTCAAGTTCCATCTTGGTGTCTTCAAGAATTCTCCCAATGATTCGGGCGTCGCTTTTCTTCGGGGAACCCCATTTTGGTTTTAACTGGGATTCCCATTGATGGTTGGCGTGATTCGGATGTCCTTTTGATGTCTTTCTTTTAATGGGGTTCCCATCAAAGGGTTCCCTGGTTTCCATTGGCGTCCCTTTTAACCCGGACATCAACAGGACCATCATTTTGGTCCCGATCGCATGGTTCCAGGCTTCCATCTTGGTTTCCCCAACTTCGAGAAGCACGAGCCTTCAAGTCCTCCCGCAGTGCCTGGGACAAGGTCAGGCGGGATCCGCGACAAAGGCTCGTCTTTTTTGGATTCGGAGCCACCCAACATGGCGAACCGTGTTCCTCGTGGTTTCCAGTCAACACCACAGAAGAAAAAAGAGGTACCCTCATAGACCCGCATAAGACTTTGAGACAGGGCGGCAGTAGATGGCACTGTTTCCGGTATGTGCCCATAAGAGGATGAGTAATCCGAAATGGGGAGGCTGTGCAATCTATCGCGCAATTGTACTATAAGCCATCACTCATGTTACCCCCTAGAATTGGTGAGCTAATTATAAGTTGTCCAAACGAATGTTAAAACCAACGCCAGTGGAAATAAGATACCAATACCATCTGGTAGCCCTCTAAGGAAGCTTCATGGGCGAAAATGGCAGACCGGGCCACCGCGGGTGATGGTTGGGGAAGAATAACGTCCCTGGAGAAGCTTTTAAAGTTAGCCTCTAAAGAAGGATGGGCAGGCGTGTTTTTGTCCTTGAAAACAACCCTTTAAAAAAGATACGCCCATGTGATGGACCTGGAAAAAGCCACGGAAGTGAATGCTTGCTGCATTCAAAGTCGCCGCTATAAAGATGTGCCGAGGTGGGTATGACAGGGGCGTTGTTTTTGTAGGCTCCCGGTTTCAGGTCAGCTTCAAGAGAAACTAAAAATGTAAAATCGACCATCTACTGCGGTCCACGATTTCGGACGCACGCACGATCCAGGACCCAATAGTGGGTATGTTACATAAATATGAGGGTTGCTGTCCAGTATTCGTCAAAATGTTCCTTGCCTTTGCAGAACCAACTCTCGCGATCGATTGAAGAGGCATGACTTTGGCCCAAGCAAATCTATGGCTGATTCCCAACAACTTGAAAGTGAGCCCACCACATCCAGCCAAACAATGAAGGACACATGCGGTCACAGGGTGCTTTGGGGCAGCCCCTGCACGAATTACAGGTCTCAGCGATGGCAGGATGGATAGAAACCAGCAGTCTTTTCTACAGGATACCCACCAACCACCACAAGGCTTTGGAACATGTCCACGTTTCGCTGGTTCCTTCAATAGGATCCAAGCCTCCCTCCTGTACTCTAAGGCCTTCAAGGCCTGGAAGCCTCAGGTCATTGTCTTTGACGGAAGCCCTGTGCTGGGACCCGTAGGGAACCCCCTACCATGGCACATGTTCCTTAACAAACAACATGGCCAAGATTAGCTGAAATATGGCTAGGTCCTCTAGTAGAGAGGTTGGAATAAGGGTACCTTTTTTTTTCGGCAGTCTATCTTAGTAGGGGAACCCTCCCCCAAAAAAGGGTGAAAGAGCACTGCTGGGGGACCTAGATGGGCGATCAAGCAGGCTCCAGACTCTTGCCCACGCCAGCCCTCGCTCCAGTCTGCAGTCGCGCCTCTGAGCCGGAATGCTCCTGAGTTCGCAGGTGGTCAAGTCTTGCCCCCTCACGCTGTGGTAAAAAGGCCGTCTACAGGGAAGGAGCCTCACATGGCCCCCTTCACAAAGCATGCTACGATGATGTGCAATGCACACCTCGCGAATGTAGATGGGGTTGATGTCAAAGTTCGGGATCCATCTTTGGATGCCCTTGAAAGGCGGACCAACATTAAAAAAAAGATGGGCCTGCAAAGGGGCCCTGACTTTGCACAATCTGTGAAAAGGCAAATAGAATGGATGCCTATCCCCTCCGGGTAAATGGCATTTGTCTGAAAAGACAAGCAACATTCCGATTCCATTTGTCTGAGATACCAATAAGGGAATCATGTAATTACGGGTCAAAATTAAACCACCGGGGACCGCCAGATTGTAGTCCATAATTCCATTTACCGGGGTTCCATTTTGGGTACATATTTTTGACCCACTGCTATCTCAGAACTTGCCAATAAAACCATGAGCGCCGCCTTCGCTTGCTGTCGCACCTTCAAACCGAGCGCATCTTCACCAAAGGACTTGGACACTTGGAGGCACACATCTTTGAGGAGCCTTTGGGTTGTTGAAACCGCCCGTTTTCAGGGTTCCCCTAAATAAAGCCATAATATGGCTTCCAATGGCTAGGCTCAAACATGTGAGAAACAGAGCCACTCAAGGAAGTAGATGACTTCAATTGAGGCTTGCCTTTTGGCTGGTGCTTTGTTCTGATCCAGCTGGCTCTGCGCCAACCAAAGTCAGGTATTCTGTTTATCCCGAGGAGAAAACCCGGAGAAGTCTATTGGATCTCCCCTGCGATATAACGCAAGAATCCTTTGCCTTCCCAAATTCCCAGGGCCAACAATCAACAAAACCCGAAAAATACCACAAAAGTTGAAGGACTACGCAGGGTGGGGGGGTGCAAGATCTATGCATAAAACTCAACGTTTGACCAAGGTGTCCTATTTGTTGTGGACCCCGGAATGGTGTAGGTCCCATTTGTGGAAAACACACATAGGAGTGAAAGCAATCGTACCCCCCTGGCAAAAATTACATGGAACCCGAAAAAGGATCTCCCCCCCCCCCAAAAAGGGAATCCTCTCAAATGATGCTGGGAGGATCTGAATCTTAAAACCTCCAGCCTCACTTGCGTTCTGCTGGGCCGCCCGGCTGACCCTCCGGGGCTGCTCAAGTCGTGGTCCATGCGCAACTTGATCTGAGCTGTGAGATAGGGCGTTGTCGCAAGAGAACCCACAGCTATAGCGGCATTCCCTTTGGCGTCCCATGCCCGACCCAGAAAGGGTACCAATGGACCAACAAAACATAAACAATCACATTTACGCCACTATCGCGATGAATTAATCCACACAATCCACATACATCTTTCCCAAGTGATTGAATGGTCGGTGCATTGGTTAGTGGGTCCGAGTGGATTGAATAACTGACCTGAATTGGGCATGTGCGCTGTCGCATTGGAGGTTTGGTTTCTCCCTCCCTCCCTCCCTCTCTCTCGCTCTCTCTCGTTCTCTCTTCATGTGCTCAAGGTGCCACTTCAAATTCCGGCCAGCATGTCCCATTTCCATTCAAAACCAAGGGACACCTCAAGGGACATGGACAAGTCATGCGCCCAACTCTGGGCCGAAATTCCACTTCTCGACTCTCATGGGGGCTTTGGCTCTCCTGGGTTTCCAGAAACTTTGTCCGGTGATTTCAAGTGCCATCGGTAACCCATCGGCCACCTGGGAAACGAAATGGAAAAACGGAAGGGCGGCATGTTGACGCTTGAAGGCTTGGGGAGGGAGGAGTTGGGCCTCTGAAAAAAACATGTTGCCACCCATTGTGTAAGGAGAAGCCGGCTGGTTTCCATGGTGGATGTGTAAGAAAACCGATGCTCAACCTCACATTAAAATCCCATTGAACTCGAACAACATACCCCCTCTGACGGAAGCATGGCCCACCGTTTAAAATTGATGGGCGTGTCTTCTTTTTTTGCGGGGACCCCCGAAAATGGTGGTTTTCCTTTGAGTTCCTTCCAAATCCACAAAAAAAGGCACCCTCCACAAAGACGCAGCCCGATTCCTCAATTTTCATCCCATGAGGTCATCCCCGCGGCTGCTCTCTTGGGGCCGCGCGCGATCCTGCATGCAGCCAGGCCAAGCCTGGTGGTTTTTTTCTCCCGCGTTCGACCAAACTGCTCGGCTTAAAAGAGGTGGGTGGGGGGCAAAACAAACGGTGGGGGGATGGAGCAGCATCCTAAAACAAACACAGAATCAAACCAACAAAACTAATCATGACTATCTATCTATATATATATATATGTTTACATTATATTTCTAGATATTTGTTTGAGGGACCTAGTGGCAGTCGCTAAGGCGGTCAAACACATACGAAGGTCACATGCGAAGGTCCATTTAGGTCCAGGAAATCCGTAGCTGGCAGTTCCAACTGAAGCTGCGGCTTACAAGGCCGCGTCATACTTAACAGGTGAGTCATGATGAAATAAACGAAATAAACACAAAAGAAAACAAGTCGGGTAAGTAATGAGCAACGGATGCAGGTGTAGTCAGCGTGGCAGAGGTCCCTGATACGTGATGCCCGGCAAACTTGTGGGAAACATTAGTACGTGCCTGCTTTAACCATCAAGCATAGCACAAAGCCCCGGAAATAACTACGTGTTTCCTGGAGAGGACACCTGGTTTTCGTTAAAAATTGGCGGCCCCCCCCAATGTCCTCCCCAAAACTCAAAATCGACAAACAGCAATGCTGTCAGTTGCATCAGCCCCCCATCCCAACGAACAGATTTTGCCGTCTTAGCTCGTTTAGCCGGTCCATGTGACAGCTGACTCAGCAAATCGGAACAACCACTTGTGGAGACTGAGAACCACCAGCCAGCATACTCACCATCCGGATTCCGACAAGCCAAAATTGGGCACCATGTAAGCAATCAGTCCGGCACATTGGGTCAAAAATCCAAAGCAGCGGGTCGTCCTATCCATTTCTAACCAAACCGATCCAAAGGGACGCTCACATCTCTCGCCCGCCTGCAGCACTTGGGCTCCGAGACCCAAGCCGGCCGAATCCAGTGGGCCTAGGGCCTCAGCTGCAGGTGGATGTCTAGGGCAAAAAACACCGTTTACTCATCGGGGGTGTCCCTGGGTTGATTCATCTGGGAGTTGGCTTCCTCTAGAAAAAACCATCCGAAAAGGGGTCCTTTGTTTTGGTAGAAACACATATATATATATATATATACATATATATATATATCACTCGGATTGCAAGAATAATTATAGGGGTCCAATGCTGAACCTCTACCCCTGGACGCTCAATTGAACGACGGCTCCTTTGCCGGCAGGCTGCCTGTCAATATTTCTTTTGCGGCAAGCACCTGCAAGGTTTGGCCAAGATTCTGGGGGGAATCCGAGCCTAGACAACCCCCTTGTCAAAAACCTACGAAGTATCAAAACCATGATGTGTCATTGCTAAAGACGTTGACAATACTTTTGCCAGTGCTATTGCCAATGCCAGTTTCAGTCATTGTCCCACATTGCCATTGCACAACGCAAAGAGTCATCCTCCCTAAGCATCAAGGGTGCTGTTTGGTGGCACTGCTACCTGTTGTGGTTGACCGAAAGCAGTCGGCAACTGCTCGGCCGTCTGATTGTCCAAGACCGATGGACATAGGCGCACGGGAAGGAAAAGGAAAAGGAAAAGGAATCTGGAAGGGACAGATGACGAATGGCGGCGGAAAAGGACTGCAAGGAAAGAACAAAGAACTGTATGCTCAAACTTCAGCTGCCAAATAGTGGAAACTCGACACGTTCTGTGCATCGGTGCAAGGAGTTGCATCACGCTTAAAAGTTCAACATGTCTGTGTTCTCCATTGTTTCGGGCCATGGAACCTGACAGGAAATGTCCCTTTAAAAGGAAATGGTCTTCCGATGGGGACGTCCAAGCGCCATGTGGGAGGGTGGGTTCCAAGCGCCATGTTGCCCTTGTGGCGACGTGGCCTTCTGTGTCCCCGGCCATCTCTGTGGAGCTCGCTGCCGAGCGCCGCTCGGAGACCTGCTCTTTTTGTTCAAACCCGAGAAATGAATCGGGTGTCTATGCGGTGTAAGGTGAACATGTATGATTTTGTGGGTGGGTGTGAGTGGGTGGGTGTGGTGGTGGGGTGGGTGGTGGGTGTGGCGGGTGGGTGGGTGGTTGGCTGGTTGGCTGGCTGGCTGGCTGCAGGGTGTTGCAGCAGGCCAAGACTCAGAGTTGCGCAGCTGTTGCGGAGCCGTAGTCTTCCCGCAGTCTTCCCGGAGCGCTTTCTTCTGGCTATCATTTTGCGTTGGCGAAGCCATTTGAGAGGCGGCACGTTGAGCAAATCCACTACAACATCGGCTCTGAGAGGCGGTGCGTTGAAACAAATCCACAAAAACTTTGGCGGGCGAGTGTCAATGCTGTGACAGTATTTGTGCATATTGTGGCAAGCGAATTGCCGGAGCGCCCTGTTGTGAGAATTATGTTGGCCGCCCTGCCCGGCACGGTAAGCAGCTCCACTACAACATCGGCTCTGAGAGGCGGCGCCGAGAAGCAAATCCACCAAAACTCGGGCAAGTCAGTGCCAATGTTGTAATGCTGTCTACGCAGGGTTTGGCAGGCGAGCTGCTGGAGCACTCTGGTTGATTAACTGCTTCCCAACACAGACATGTTAAACCAATCATAAAATATATGAATTGGAGTTGTTGATTGATCAATGAATGACTGAAATCGATGTTTGATATACTTTTGTGAGAAATAGTTGTCCGCTCTGACGGGTGGCATGCCACGTGCGTTGCTGCATTGGAACGGGCATCTTTCGTGTGTTGGCTGACACCACGCTCTTGCTATGCTGGTATAATTTTAACAACGTGCTTCTATTGCGCGAATGTCTTCAATATTGGCCTCAGAAGCCTTCTAGAATGTTCATTGGAAATTCAGTATAACATAACAATCCGTTCTGTCTATTTATTTGGCTCTGCTGGGGCCGTTTAATTAATGCCAATGCAAGCCACCACACCCAAGCGCATGGGAAAACACAACAACAAATGACCCAAAAAGCCGCCGCCCCGTGCTGGTCAAGAAAGAACTTTGCAAACGAGGGAGCCAGGAGTCCGGAATATATCCCAGGCAAAGCTGCTTGAAGTAATCAGGGATGTTGATTCGTTTTGCTTAGAGTTAACATTGCATTATTAAATGCCACATAATGCCACCGGTTACTGAGGAGGTTGGGGCGGGGGGTAACTCGTACATTAACATTATGGCATGCGTATTGGAATGGACCACCACAAATTTCCGGTCTCCATGAGGATGGCACACGCCGACGGTCCCAAAAGGTGTGTGGAAGGGTTGGGACGAAGTCGGGACCCCAGCTTGCAAGCAGCTCTCCTCTGGGCTGCCCTCAGGTCCCCCGCTAAAAGTTTAACTTTAAAGTGGGTTCAATGGAAACTACCACTAAACACTAAAAGGCTACAAAGCTAAGAGGGATGGCTGGGAGCCACCAAGTCCTTGACCGGGTTTTCGTGACATGCTCACTCTCCTGCTCGGCCCGCTCGGCAAAAGGGGCCACAAGATCAGCCAAGTGATCCAAGCGCGCCTGCTTCTCCGACAGGTCGCTGCAAACGGCCTGAGAAATGAAGTCACGATACGTTGGACACACGGCGGCTCTGGCGCTCTCTGCTCTCAAATTGAACATGTGGCTCAATTCCCCCAGGCCAGCATCAGCATCAAACGCGGCTGACACGAACGAATTGCATATTAGAGGTTCAAAGTGTCAGGATCCCACCTGACGATCAGGAACCTACCAAACCTGGACTAAATGATGATGGAACTACTAACAACTGGTTCTACTTGTGTTTAGATGTGTCAAGTTCGCCAACTCAAAGTGAGTCCAGGGAATCCGTCTTTCGACCACACGCTTGTCCCAGAGCTCCAGTGGCAACAGGCCAAAAGGGAGGCTCTTTTTGTTGGTAGAGGGGCGAATCTTTTAAACGCTGCACTTTTTACCACATCTTGGAGCTCCTGTGAAAAACAGCCACCCAAAAAAAACATCTTGCGGTGGTTCCAAGATGAAGAGAGCAACGAAAAGACCCAAGGCCGCGATTGGAGGATGCGCTAGACTTGCTACGCTGACGGCCCCAGCAGATCGCCGGCTGCGTTGAGACCGCGCCTCGAGGATATCGCAAAAAAAAAGAGCAAGAAACTGGACTGGTAGTACAAATACGTGTCAAACCAAGCTTACAAATTGGTGGCTTCCTTTTGGTTGCCCTTTCAACCAACCTGAATAGCAATTACCCTCCAAAAAACAAATAAGTACATAAACAAACAAACAAACAAACAAACAAACAAACAAACAAACAAACAAACAAACAAACAAACAAACAAACAAACAAACAAACAAAACCCACTAACACCAACACTAACACCAACACTAACACAAACACAAACACAAACACACATTCACACAACAAGCTCTGATCAAACAACTTCCAACGCCATTCCCTCTGCACAAGACGGCGTTGCCATAGGCATCCTTTTCGGAAAATAGATGGCCCTGGCAAATGGAATAACACCAATCTAAACCAATGCCATCTATTTCTACTAACCTAAAAAGGACGCCTATAGGCGTCGCACATTCACTTGTGTTACCAGGGTTTCATACAGACCCCATGTTTCCCTTCAAACATCGCCCCAAAAGCAGACGCATCTAAAATTGGCCCAAAAGGTGAGGCTTCAACCGGCTTAGGCAAATCTAGGGACCCCTGACGCACCAGACACGCACTGCAAAAACGAGATGGGTGTGGCTCCTTAACGTAAGGACCCTTGTTGCGGTTTCAAAGGGATACGAAAAGGACCGCCCCCACCTTTTTGAGATCACCCCATGCTGCTTTTGCCAGATCTCAAACCCTTTTGCCAAAGGTAGATCAAGCTTTGCCACTCAGGACAGAAACTGTGATAGAACCAACCAGCGACTCATTAGCCCCATCAAGGGAATTCAGCTCTACTCTCTGGACATGAACTTCAGCATAAGGCGAGATGACCAGGTACCTGACATGAAACCCACTCTGCCAGGTCCCTCGAAAAGAAAGATCCAACGGCCTCGCAACGGGTGGCCAAGTCGGTGGGAAACATCTTCCCCCCCAAACAGTCACAAAGAAACCAAGCCGCACAGCCAGGCTTGGGGTCAGTTGAATCTAGTTGGGGCTTTCCATCCCCAACATCCGGCAACTGCAATTGCAAGGATTGACAGCTGCTTCTGAAGGGACACCTTTTGTCAAATGGTTTTAGCGGCAGGCATGAAATGCATTAAAAGAACCAGTCTCTTTGGGGGAGTGCGTGCATGTGTGCGTGCACGCGTGTTGATTGATTGTTTGTTTGTTTGCTCGCTTGCTTGCTTGTGTTGCATTGTTGTGTTTTGTTTTGTTTTGTTTTGCTTGTTTTGTTGCTTGTTGTGTTTGTTTGTTTGTTTGCTTGTTTGTGTGTGTGGTTGTGTGTTTGCGTGTTTGTGTGTTTGTTTGTTTGCGTGTTTGCTTGTTTGTTTGTTTGTTTGTTTGTTTGTTGGTTTGTTTGTTTGTTGGTTTGTTTGTTTGTTTGTTTGTTTGTTTGTTTGTTTGTTTGTTTGTTTGTTTTTGTTTTGTTTGTTTGTTTGTTTGTTTGTGTTGCTTGTTTGATTGTTGATTGTTTGATTGTTTGTGTGTGTGTGTGTGTTTGCATTTGAGTTTGTGTGTGTGTGGGACACTGTGTGGGAATCGTAGTGATTCCCCACAGAAACAAAAAACAACGTCAATCCAAAACACGAGCTGGCTAACCTGCTAGGCAGGGTCCAAGAGACAAGACCTGTCTGCCCTAAATAAGTACAATGCGGATGTGAGGGACTTCACACACAAACACCTGCGCATGACCATGGCAATAAAGTATGTACTCAATTGTTCAGCTTCTTATCCGGGGTGGTCTCTTTCTTTGAGAACACCCATTTGTGTCTTGGTTTGAAGGGAAACCAAACTGAACACCTGCCATTTTGTTGCGGGTCTCCCTGTTTTAAGACACACCCATATTGTCTAGGTCCTCCAGTAGAGAGGTCAGAATAAGGGCGCCAACTTTTTTTCCGTGGTCTATTTTAGTAGGGGAACCCTCCCCGAAGAAAAAAAAAAAAAAGACACGGGGGACCCAGTTGTTAGTTTCACTCTCCTTTCTGCGCTCCGTCGCTCCAACCATCTCACCCACGTCTCCCTCACCTCACTTGGGCTGCCCTCTTCTCGCTTCTCTCGCTCCTCATGCTCCTCTCGCTCCTGGCCCCAGGGAGGGACTGGGAAGGACCGGGGCTCGGACGCCCCATTTTATTTGGGGGGTGGGGATGCCCCGCAGAAATTCCCCGGGGTGTTATCCTTTTTGCATGGGTCTGAGCAGGCCGGGTCGCCTGTTCAAACATGCAACAACAAACCCTTGCTTGAGCATCCTTATCTAAGGATCTTTTTAATGGCAGCTGTGGCATCCAGGAGAATGAGATTGTTTCACCAACCTGGAATGAGACATGGACTCCCAAGAATACTTTGTGGGTGAGGTAGCAACCCAAGACCCTTGTGTGATTGTGTGGCTTGTATAACTCAGCCAAAACTTGAAACAGCAATAACAAGAAGACCGAACTCATCCAAAAGGCAACGGGAAATCGGTTGCCCCATATCCCCCCATATGTATATATATATATATATATATCCAAACAAAAACAAACAAAAAACAAGTTCCCCAGCTGCCCAGTGACTATGGTAGATTCATACAACCATATCTTTTTGGGTTTGGCCGTGGTTTGTGGCTTTCGAGCCCACCAAGCAGAGTGCCGAACAATTGGCTCGGCTTCACTGCCGAACGTTTCTCTCACTCGCCCCATGGACATCAAAGGCCAACCGACAAAGACCCCGACTGAGAAACTTCAACAGGTCCGCTGAGCTCAAGGCTTCAAGGGACGGCTCCTGCGGCATCTCCGGGTCTAGGCTGAAGGGGCAGGCCTGGCCAGCATGGGATCTTCGGGGAGGAGGGGTGGTTTCTTTCCCATGCGAAGGCATGAATTTCTCGAGTCCATTGCTTCCGTGCGGAAGAACGTTCGTGATTGCATGGTGTTCCGATATGTTCCGATATGAGCTCCGGAACATGTCAATCCTAGGGGAACGCACATCGACAAGGTCAAGCGGGGCAAAAATCAAACTGCCAAGCTGGACCAAACGCTCTTTCCACAATGGAACGCGCCCCAGTTCTTGACAACAGCGCCGGTATCTGTCCTGGGAAGGTCAAACGGACGGAGGCAAAAACTGAGGTCCAAAAGAGGTGCGAACTAGGAACGAGCCCAAAGAGCAATCCCGACCCTATAGCGCTGCATCAAGCCGACATGGGAATTCGGCAATGACATTGTGGACAACGTTGAATGTCTAAAAGTGCATTGCACGCTTCTCGAACAACAAATGCACCGCCCACCGCCCTCAGGGTCTGAACCAAGAGGAAAACCGCCCCATTTGGAGCGAACCTCTTTCCAAACTTTCCCCTCATGGCCCGTGAAACCCGCGACAGGGCGGTTTCAAGACATTTCACCCGTCAGCATGATTTTCCTTGCTTGTGCTGCTCTACCGTTGGATACCCTTGCACAGGCCGCCATATCATATGCTTCTCAGCGCATTGGCGTGCTCTGCTTTCACAACAGCAAACAACTTCAGATTGGCAAGGGTCACGTGTTGACTGCATGGCACGGTTCAGGAACATGCCTTGAACAACATGTATCTGAAACGAATTTGGCGATATGGGTGTTTGTTGAGGGCACACCTTCTTCAGGTCAGCTTGAAGGGACATCGAAAGGAACACCATCACTTCTAGGGGCTGACGGCTGTCATTTTGCAGCGGACCCCAACGGTTTTGTGTCCCTATAAGTTTCCCTTTGGCCACCATCCAACCAACGGTACCCAAAGGCCGCCTTCGCCGGTGGACTGAAGAATGCCTGGCGGTCACAGAGTCCAAAGATCCACAACTGGGTGGTCGATCCCCTGCCAAAACTTTAGCTTTTACTGGGTGAAATGGAAACCCCCCCCCCACTAAATCCAAAAAAATAACACAAAAAAAACCTAAGGGGATGACCAGGAACCAGCAAGAAAAGAAGCCAACACCAATTCTCTACCCTTGTGGTTTAAAACAGGGGGGGCGTTGCCCCGAAATCCGGCCAGGCCCGTTTTTGTCTGTTGCTTTGCCCAAAAAAGGGTGTCTCAAAATCAGGGACCATCCAAAAGGCGGGCAAACCATCTGGGTGCGTCCTGAAAACCGTGATGCTGGACATCGGAGCGGCCTTTCTTTTCTGGTTCTATGGCAGCCGTGAGGTTTGGTTCCAAAGGTGACACCCAGGAACTCGCGCGTGGGGGGGGTGCTTTTCCACGTTTGCGCCGTCAACAAACAACCTGTAAAATGTTGCTAGCGCAGGGATGCCTCGAGGTGGTTGTGTCCTCTTGGTGTCGCTTTTTGAAACCATCCCACTGATAAATCATTGAGAGACATGACCAATTGCAAGCAAGGGCGGGCGGCTCTGAATCTTCTGGCAATTTCAGATGCGATTGCCGCTGGGGGAGAGGGAACTCTGCACTCCTTCCCAAGATGTGTGTGTGTGTGTGTGTTTGCGGCTTAGCGAAGTGCCGAGGCTGCAACTTGAAGCTCAGAGCTGGGTGACTATTGAGGGAGGCCGGCAAGTTGGCTTGGAGCTGATTTGTGTTAGATGTGCTGCTGGTTTAGCAGCGGCCTTTCGGGTTGCTTTAGGTGTGGTTCAGTGAGTTGTGGGCGAGTTTCGGATTGGTCTTGGAGCCGCTGCTAAACCAGCAGCACACCTAACACAAGCCGCCCAGCAGCAGCCTGGATGTCAGCCCTTCTCCTAAATCGACCCCGAACCACCCCAAGACCCGCCCTCATGAAGATCTAAGCCAGCCAAAACCTTGCTAACTACCAGCCCCCAGCAACTCCCAACTGCCACCCAATAGGCAGCCCCAGGTCCAAGTGATGCTGGTGATGCTGGGGATGTTGACTGCCCTGCATGTATGCATACAACACATATATGTGTATATATATTTCTACATATATTTATATACATATATATATATATATATGTATATATGGTCCGAAACCTTCGCGGAAAAATTATATATATATATATATGTATATATATATATATTAATATTTATATGCACATGCACATATACATACACACTATGGAGGATGTACCCAGAAGACATTGGATAGGATACCGTTGCCTAGAAAAGCGTCGCTGTCAACGGAAGCTGATTCTGAAAGGGGCCGAACTTCCGACAGTTGTATGGAATTCCGGACCGAGAACAATCGGATCAGAGCGGTTCCCCTATAGGGTCAAAACACAAAAGCTGGCACGAGCGATCTCACTGGCATAAAACGAAGCAAGCGAAACCACCCACCCAGGGCTCCCCGCCAAAAACGGGCGCCACCAAGTTCAGAGGAGACCCGCCCTCCCGCTGGTACCCGCGGTACCCGCATGCAACGCAATGGAAGCGCGCGTGCAGTTGTCGTCATTCGAAAGACCCGCCCTCTGCCTCCGGACGTGGCGGCAAACTCGCTGCCTCGGCGCCAGATCGGCTTCGGGCAGCTCAATGAAACGGCGGTTCTCTTTCTATCGCCATCCAAAGGGCGCCTCCTTTCTGCGCAAGATATGTGATAACATGCTCAGGGATTCACTAAATGTTGACCCCTGGTCCTGACCTTCTTCAAAGGCGGCTTGCGATGCCACAACGATCGACCTTCAGAACAACCCACGAACAAATCTAGCATTCTGGGAATTTGCAAAGGACTCCGAAACAAACCAGTTCCCTAATTGCATGGATGAGCCAAGTTTGAGTGCCATGTTTCTAGTTGCATCTGCCATAGACAAAGATCCATCGCAATCAAATGCAATTGAAACATGCGTGGTATTTGAACAACCGGATGGATGAAACAGCTCAAGTGGGGAATCAACCCTGAAAATCATACTTCACCAGCCTGAGACTAAGTAGACACCTAAAGCAATCTAGCTGTGCTTTTGGGTGGCCCCTCCATAAGAAGCAGCTCGATTAAAACTGTTTGAGGATACACCTCCATCCTTTCAACAAATGTTGCAAGGGAAAGCCATCCAGGCTTTCAAAAACAATGCAACCCGATGAGCCTCAACTGGGTGTGTCTTGGTCAGTATGTACCTGTTTGGTTTTTTGAAGGGATGCCAAATACAAACCTCCCAATCATAGGAGTCCTTTTAAAATAACATGGATGGATGCCCCTGGTAGATGATCGAGCAACCAGGTCAACCAGGAATCGCGCCATCGACGTTCTACCAAAACAACCCAAAGGGACACCAACAGGGCTGTGTGGAATGGAATCCACTTCTGTGATACCACAAAAAGGGCCTAACCCCAAAGACTACCTTGTTCACATAATTTTGGGGATTCCCAACTTGTATCACAGAAGTGGTTGGAGAAACCCCTTGATCCCACAACCCTGGACACCAATGTCTCCCAATGTTAGTTGGACTCCCCCCTTGAGCTCCCCAACCCGCTCCGCGCGCGGGGGGGTTGAGCCGAAGGCCTCTCAAATGGCTGGGGTTGGTCTGAAGGAAAACCAAGAGCAAAAAACAAAATCCCTTTTGGCATGTCCGCGTGTCTCAACGACTGTTTTTTGGTTGCCGCGGGATTTTGGACATGGGAAAAAGTAGTCAGTGGGGGCAACTGGAAAGGGTCCCTAGTTTTGAAAGCAGCCATATTCTGCACCGTGGGAACATGGAGAGGAGAGAGGATCCTGTTTGTTGTGGACAAATTGAGAGCGTTGGCATTAACTACTGGAAATTTGGACAAAGCCTCATAATATGCGTTTGTCTCCAAATGGGCTCAAAACTGCGTGGTTTCCGTTCGATAATCGGGTTCTCTTTACAACCCCTAACTTGGGTTCCCTATCACCAAAAGGAATTTCACTTTCAGCTGGCAACCACTTAAGGCGATGCTTGAAACCACCGCAGGGAAAATACGGCACATGAAAGCACCCTCCAAATGAGCTTCAAAAGTGCCCCGTCCAAATCGTGGGCTTTCCTCTTTATTCCATGCGGGAGAGAGGGGGGCACAAAGTGTGGTGTGCGCCTTCTTTCGCAAGCACGCGCTCTAGGTACCAAGGTACAAGGAAAGGGCAGTCTGCAAAATGGACTCTAGGTGGCCATGCCACAGGGCGAAAGCGTATGGAAATGAACCCTGTCTTGATTGTCAGAGAAACCTACTGAACACCTCGCACGCGGCCTAAGGAAACACTGGGCAGCCGCTTCACCCCTTGCTTTAACCCGTGCCCGCCTGTAACAACGTAGCTTGCTCGCACTTACCCGCCCAGTCACCATGGAACCCGAAAGGCCCGGGTTCCAAACATGGTCTTCCAGGCACGTACAGCACACAGGTGGCCTTTTGCAAAGATAGATGGGTTTGGTAAATGGAATGAAACCAACAGCTGTGCCATCGATTTCTATCCAAACTAGCCGGAAAAAAAGGACACCTATGTATCAGCACCTATTCTCAACTCCCATTTTTGTGACTGGGAACATGAGCGTACAGTTGAAGAACTCCGTTGGCAAGTGGAGAACATAGCTTGTGGCTTGCTTGCTTGCTTAAATCTTCCAATGGTGCAAGCCGCCGATCCCGATGTGTTTCCTCGGATAGAAACCACAAGCATTTATAACTCTTTGTCCAATTCCTGTCTTGACTTCGTATCATAGCCCCGGGTGGTCAAGGCAAACTAAGCTAAGACCTCCCTGAAACCTTCGCCAAAACGTCTCAGCCTCAGGTCGTGGAGGACTAAGTGAAGCCTCAGGCACCAGGGTTTTCTTAGGGGACCCCCCGGAAAAAATGGTGTTTCTCTGGGTCTCCCTTTAAAACCTCACCAAAAAGAACGGGTACCGACTCAAAAACGAGACACACACCCCTGAATGTGTGCTCCATGGAGTTCTCTTCGTTACCTTTAAGATCATCCAGTGTGTTGAAGGAAGCAACCACAACTCTGCAGCAACCGACCGATTTTCTACCCAGCTACGATCTATGCTTGTGGCCAAAAGCGTCGGTAAACTTGGGCAAATACCAATCGAAGCGGCCACGGATTGAGCCCCAGCTCCAGGTTCAGATTTCGAGGTGTTTTTTTTTGAGTTGGGGTCAAAACATGTAAAGCCAACCCCTGTCCCTGGCATGCTGCTGGAAGAAAATCAGGTTTTCGCTATGCACACCATGTGTTTGTTTCAACCTGCAGAATCAAGGCGGCCGCAAACTCTTCAATGTCAAAGAACACGCCTCGCGCAATCATGCTCATGTCAGCCATTCCCATTCCACGGAATCGGATCAATTTCGACTTTTGGACCAGCTGCTGATTGAACATCTCTTTTGTCCAATACTTGGTCCACTACCACCGTCTTGGCATTGAATTCTCTGAGAATCCTTCCATGACCTGAACCAATTGCAGGGCTCCTAAAGCCAAGTACGGACCTACGTTGCTTTCGCTCGTTTCACCTCTCGGCGAGCTCCTAACATTGGCAGATCTTGTGGCGGGGTCTTTGGGGAGCCCCCTGGTTGGCTCTTAAGGGGAAGGCAAAAGGAATACACAGTTGGCTGTGGCTCAAGAAACCGGTACCAAAATGGAACCCTGGTAAGTGGAAACATGGACCAAAACCTGCGTAACCCCTCCTGTTTAATTTTGAGCCACAGCCAGTTGCTTTTTGGGTAAAACCACATCCCTGTGAGCACCCCCCTCCTGGTTTTTTGCCCCAACAGCTGAAAGCTTTGGGGTCGATAGGCCCAGATAGGCCCCGGGGTGGTCCGGGGCGGCCCTGAGGTAAGGTTCCACGAGGGTTCCACCAGGGTTCCATGAGGGCTCCACGAGGTTCTGCGAAGGCTGCGGGGTGGTGCGAGCTTGGGGATATCACCTGAGCTTCTTTCTTTTTTTGGGGGGGGGCACCCGAAAAAAAAGAAGAGCCACCCGTAGCCTTGCTCAGTGCCGCGCCTGCGACGGCATGGACGCCTCGCCGCGCGGGGGAAGGTGGAAGGGGCAGGGGGAGGAGTGTTTTTTTCAGGGGAAACCATACTTTTTCAGGGGTGGCTTTTTAGGGGTGGTTTTTCAGGTGTTTTCAGGGAGGGGTGGTTTTTCAGGGGTGTTTTCTCGCTTGGAGGCAAATCTGCTTGACTTGGCCTTGCGTGAATTCCCGCAACTTTGCCTCCGTGGAACTGGGATTCGCTTTGGCTGAGCTTGAGTTGCGTATAGCTACGCACATCTAGTTGAACGCCTCAAAAGGAAAGACGCCCGAAGCCGGTCATGTGAAGCTCGTTTCATGAACGTGCACAGCACAAGGCTCAGTCAGGCCGCATCCAGTTGAGCAAAAACAACAAGCGGCTTTAAGAAAAGTGGGAAAAGCAGCGACGCATAGCGACACTGGGTTCTACCATGGTGCTTGCAAAAGCGCAGAGTGTCCATCCTTAAAATTGATACTATGGACTTAGCCTTGTTGGCTTGGGGCCTTTGGACCCATCGGACACAGGATCGGACGTTGAGGGAAACACGGTATTCATGGATGCACCTTTGTCAATTAGATGAGAATGTACCAAACGCATGAAACCTTTGCAAATGAGCAGGAGACTCTTCTGTGGCACGTCCAAAGCTGTGTAGTGTGGCGATATAATAGGAACGCCCAGCCCCAACAGGTCGCCCCACGCGTCCCATATGAACCACCCCCATCTTTGCAAGCTTCTCTTCAGAATAATCGGCAATCAAACAAAGAATCGCCATATTAACACCGCAGGGGAGGCACAACACGATCTGTGTCCAACTAGCGAATTCCACATCGTGTCATAGTTGAATGGTCAGTCATGAACTTCAAGCCCTGTGATGGACAGTCCTTTTGGCAGGGCTTCGATCAACACAACCAAAACAACAGGCGTGTCAAAGCCGCTACAAAATACAAATCGTTGGCATCATGAAACTGGTCCAACAAGGGGATCTGTGGCTTTAATACATATGGAATGACACCTGATTGCGAAACAGCCACCAAAACAAGGGAAACAACACCAAAAATAGCCGCCGAAGCGCCCCTCGGGGTTCTTTACATCCCCCCTTCTTGCCTCAAAAGTCTAACCTTAGGATGCGCTGAACGACGGCCACTACCCCTTTTGAAAAGGTCCTGCACTCCTTTCTACCCATCAGGTAGCGGTTTTGGCAGTAAATTTGCCCTTGCGCCTCAAAACAGCCTTACAGCTCCAAGAGGTTCTTGGGCCCAGTAGCTGATGATGATGTTTGAGGTGACACCCCTGAAAGATTGACTTTGAATAACCCAGCTTGTCTCTTTGCCTCAAAATAGGGGATCCCTTTCTCGATTGTTCAAAACAAAGGAAACCAACAGGAAACGCTGGAGAAGTCGGCCGAAGTATACGGATCCCTTCTTGGATGGATCTAAAGGAGGACTCGGCCCCTGATTTGAGAAACCCTCAAATGGCTGGATCATCTTTTTCCCCTGCGAGCTGGATGCCCAGTTTCTTTTTGCTCCCGGGCCTTCCGCATGGGTGCCTTGGGCGGGGGTGGCGGCACCACCTCCTGAAGCGTCAGCTCAGCTTCCCCCCCCAAAAAAAAAGACACATATGCAGGGGGTTGACTTGCTAGTTCGATAGGCAGGAGAAATGGACTGACCCCGATTTGAACCATCCCCGATTTGGTTGCCCTGACAGAACAGAACCCTCAGTGAAGCCAAGGCGAATGCGTTTCTGGCGAAGCGGTAATGTCAAACCCATATTAATCAACCCCAGCTTGTAAATATGGGAGTGTTCCCCCCACAAAACGCAAGGACCCCCCCTCAAAAAAAAAAAACCTTCAAAAAACTGGGGTTGATCAATACGGGGTTAGCATTAACAGACATGTTGAAAGTTTCTGGACGGAGTCGAGGTCCGGGAGATCCAGTCATGTCAGGTCAAGATGGTGAGACTGGCCGATACCTGGTTAAGTAGAGACCACGAAAATTAAGAATGCGGGCTGCTGCCACAAAGGGAATTCAAGGCAGGGCTGTTTTGTGCCATATCTATTTCTAAGGGGCTGATTGTCGCAAAGCAAAGATTGACTCATGGCATTCAAGGCAATAATAGGCCTTTTCTGAGAGTTGATGGCGCTGAAGCTTGCCATGTTTTGTGGGCAGGTCCTTTCCAAATAGACTGGAAAATACATTGAACAACCGCTACTCCACCACAAAGGCAAAAACAAACTTGAAGGTAGCGAAAGTCTGGCAATGTCCAGTAGTCGTTGGCGATTGACGAAGTGGCAAGCCCCTCTTTGAAGGCGTTCACATGATAGCATTGCAAGGTCCCAACGGCTGCCCATATTTGCTCACCCCTGGGGCAACAGGGGCAAGTGACCTCAAAATGTATCTTCACATTATCAAACACATAAAGTGTCCATTCATATTGCATATCAACATATATCATCAATTATCTTCATAGATTGACGTACTTATCAAACTCGTTGACAATCGTGACGCTTAGAGGACTCGCCTTTTCGGCTCCTGAGGAGTCCCTAATTTGACATTTCCATGCCAAGTTTAGGGGGACTTTCCAACTCTTGGCATGGTAGCAAAACCCTCTCTTGTTTGCAGCCCCCTAATAAAAATGAACAGACACAAAAAAACAACAGACAAACATGCCAACAACAGTGACGGAGTGCACCTCAGCTCGGAGCACGTGAGAGCCCCACGGCTGACGGCTCCTGTGCATGCGGCCCGTGTCTTGGCGTTGGTGCCTGCGCGGCGCTCGTCATCTGTATGAACCTAATCTTCCATGCAGGTTGCCAATCAGATCCGGAATTACATGTCTGGCCGACTCATATAACATCCCGTGGGCTTCCATTTGGTTCAAGTTGGCTCCAAGAGGCGTCCAGAGTCTGCCAGACTGAAACCATGGCTCCTTGCGGGCCTTGTTCGGCCACCGGCCCCTGGATTTAAGCCTTGTGTAATCAGCACATGCTTCTGCATTGGGATTCTGGCCATCGGAGGCGGGTGAAAACCTCGGGGGTGAGGCAATTGGGGGAGGGTGGGTTGGGGAGATGGGGGTGGGGGGTCTCCTAGGTTGCACCTTCCCATGCAAGGTGCCAGGTCTTGCCACTCGACCCTCGAGCTCCCCCGCAAGCCTTGGTGCCCAAGCTGCTGCGGCTGAGAGCGGGGATGGGCATGAGCGGAGGCTTGTCTTTGGTCACCTCCTGGGCCAGGCTGCCTTTTGGAGGCTGTCCCAAATGCGGCAAGTGACACGGGATGCGTTCAGCAACCCGACAAGTAGAGCGGATTTTACCAGTAGATCGAGTTTCAGAAGCCAACCCCAATGCTTGGGCGATGCATGGGCAAGAATGATGGCGAGAACAGTGCCAAGGTGGAAACACATGTGACTGATCCGGCTTCTGACGCCGGAATCTGCTTGCTGAAACTGAGCACTGAAGAATGCAGACAGCGCTTTGATGAATGGCATGGCGTAATGTCCAAACAATGTCCACACCAAAGATGATGAATGCAGAACTCAGGGACCCCTGTTGCGGAAGGCCCAAATAAACCTAGCACATGCGCCCCATACGCCCAGTCAACTGCTTTGTCCGAGCCCAATTGACAGCTCTTCAAAACCCTCCCCTTCAGCTTTTGCTCCCCCCCCCCCCCGCAAAACCAAAAAACAAATACCATCAAAATTCTGGTCCCCCCCCCCCCCGGAAAAAAGAAAAAAAAAAAAACTACCATAAACTCCCCCCAAAACCAAAAAACACACTACCACATCTGATTCTGGTCAACGTAAAATAAACCTTACCAAATCCCAGCTCCAGCAGTCCTCCAACTGCTTGACATACTCCTTCACTTTGAGGCAGTGTGCGGTCCTCCCCGGTCGCTTGAGCCCAGGGTTGACTGCAAGGCTGATACTTACTGGGGCTACTCCGATATGGGGAAACCAACAGGAAAACCACCATTTCGGAGGGGTCCACCAAAAATGACACACCCATATGAGCTCCAAGGCAAGGCTTCTCACATTCTACCAACCCCAGTGAAAGAAAACAACCCGTAAAGGTTGCCTAGGCAGGTTCCATGATAGTGGGAGCGTACGAAACATAGGCGGAGGAGGAAAGGGAAGGATGGCAGGTTTTGAACCCGGACCCAAAAAGGTCCTTTCCGAAAGGAAATCCTATGAAAATGGTAATGGGATTCACCATACGAGCCCTCAATGAGATTCCAAACCGGCTTTACAACTGTGTGAATCGTGGATGCTGACAGTGTTTGAACGACTACTTTCCTTTTGGGGAAGTCTTGCATGATTCTAGGACAGAGGGTGTATCACTGTCTCAACACTGGCAGCCCCGTCCCTTTAAAGCCGGTGTGTTCAGTCTCGTACCCAGTCACGCCCCACGGCCCCTCCCCCGCGGTCCCGGATCGAAGAACCTGGCGCGGGCTTCCGTTGGACCCTGGAAGAGGAAACCGAACACCAAGCCAAACATCGGGTGGGGCCATGGACAACCAGTCAGTGTATATATAGGTCTGTTGTTTTCTTTGAGGCCTCTTTTTCATTTTGGTTTGATGGGAGCTCAGAGGGTTTCTTGGGGTCCGCCTATTTTCACACATACGCCAAATATGTTGACCGAATCTCATGAAAGTAAAGTAAGACCATTTCGTGCTGGTCGACTCCTGGCCTCTCAACCGACGACATACAAAAATTCCTTTGGCTCGTGCAAAAACGAAAAGGGCCCAACAAAAGGTCGTGCCCAACTCGTTTGCTCCTTTTTAAAGAGGGTCAGCAAAAGGGTCCAACAAAAGGCTCAAAGCATAAGGGAGGTCTACGAGTCTCACTGCATAAGTTGCTGTCGACCTAGGCGCCCTTGCTTTCCAAGTCTCTGTGTGTGCATTGAGGGTGGGTTTCAAGGTTCGTTCAATTGCTTGTGTGCTTGACTTTGAGCGGGTGCAAGGCCGTACCAGCTCAATGCTGAGGGAAGGGAATGCCCCCTCAGCAGGTCCCTCTGTCCATCTAAGCCAACATGGTCTCCATCTGCATCATTGCAGCTGCCACTGCTTAGCCTTTCGGCTTGCGTGTAGTCGTAGTTGACCACTCTTGCAGGCTTTATGATCTTTATGTCCCCTGCTTTGTATACTGTGATGCGGTGCTCGTCATACCAACATGACACCTCAAAAAGATTCCTGCCATCGGACCTTGATGTTCATACGTGCAGGCTACTGGGAGCCCATTTGATTGCTCAAATCCTAGTTGATTAGTCACTTTTGGGGGAAGCCATTCTCCATTCATCAGCAAGAGCAGCAAGACATTCAAGTTGTTGTAGATTTATTCTACTGTAAATGTTGAAGCAAAGGTGGAACACACCAGCACCTAGCGGTTCAACATGGTCAAACTCTGAATTGGCCACGCCAGAAAACATGAATGGCCCAGGACCCCTCATCCCAATGCGATGCCGTACTTAAGCCGATGCCTCAAGTACATCCTGAGAAAATGGACCTTCAGGGCTACAAAGCCTCAATCAACTCATGCTGCCACACAATTCCCCAGTCCAGTGACCTCCGAAAAATGGACCTGCTGGAGCGTTTTGGTGGGTCCTCCCACCCAAGGGCCTCGGGCGTGGTGCTGGCAGTGCTCATGGCCTGGCAAACCGAGCGTGAGCTGAGCTCACAAGTTGCATACGGAACGTTGACATGAATCAATTTGGCTGTGGGTCAAAACCCAGGTTTGGCCCCTGGTGAACATCAAAATAGGTGGTACATAGGCGTTCATCCGCCCCAAATGGAGCCATAGGTTATGACCCATGGCCATTTAGCCTACGAGCATTTTTTGTTGAGGGGTGGTGGCGGGTGTGGGTTGGGGATGTTGGGGGGGGGGAAGAATCAATCTAACAGCGTGGGGCTCGTAATGGAATTTGACATGATTTGACGTGGAGCAAGAAATCGCATTTGACATGATTTGACGGAGCAAGAAATCGCCTAACCGCTCAACACTGTCTTTCCACGCGGCGCTTGCGGGGGGGGAGAGGGGTTGCACAGGGGAAGCACTTGTACATTGCGCCGGATCGATTCTTTCAATCCCTATGGCATAAACAGGCGGGCGATAAGGCTGACAAAAGATTCACTATCCAGTCAGGCGTGCCTTTCACCAACAGCATACATCGAACTAGTTCATGGCGACCTGACCCGGGGTAAAGCTAGCTCACCCATGATGAAGGAGCATTCTGTTGGTAGCTGTGTATTTCACGTGATTCATTGTACATGTTGCGGCTGTGAAGCATGTCACATTGCGCTGTCTTGCTCATGCTTGCAATTTGCGACATGTTGTTGTTTCTGAAGGCAAGGCTACTTAGGCCGTTGAAGCGTCGGCCTCTGAAACGGAGGCCAAACGAGGATGTCCTTTTAAGATACCATCCAGCTTTGCGCTCAGACTGGGGATGCCTTCTGGCAAATAGTAACTTGTTGGCATGTTGGGATCTGTTCCTAAAACAGTAGTTGCACCCCAGATGCGCAAAGGGTACTTCGCCTTGCGCCCTTTCATTCTTTGCGGCTGCACGAGAAGTCCCGACCTGTTTGATGGTGCGCCCAACGTCCCTGGGATGTTGACCCCTGACCTGCCAGTCAGTGCACTTTCTGCCTCCCAAGCTTGACTTTGGTTCTCCTGATGGTTTGCCCACTCCGAACGAAAAACCACAAGGGCGGGGCCATTTTTCTCCTTGGGACCAATGTTCTACCCATATTCCGGGGAACCTTAGGGCTGCATTCTTTCAGAGGAACATGGGTACCCAAATCACCCGCCCCCGACATTGGCTTATTGGCACGGAACCCTGAATCACTGAAACCACTCCCGTGCCTGGCGTGGCGGAGTTTGGGCCACACCTGTCGTGACAGGTAGCGCCAATGATCCACAGAGATGCCAAGTTCTGGCTCTCTGGAACCCTCCTTGGTGGGCTTGTCTTGAGGGGGGGTTCCCCAAATTGGGAGGTGTCCCTTTGCTTTTGCTAATCTGTTCAAAAAGGGTACCCTCAAAAAAGACAGACCCTAGTGAGAATCTTTGACCCAAATGAGCCGCCTTTTGCTTCGGCATGGATGGAGCCACGAGCAGAGCCTGCTCATTTTGAGCTAGCTCAAGGAAGCCTCTAACTAAACGCTGACAGTATTTCTGCCCAAAAAACATGTCAAACTGTACGTCCATACCCCTTTCAGGTTGGTTTAATGTTATGCCTTGCAAAAAGGTGGAGCCCCTTTTGGATGGGTTTTGAAGGTAAAACAAGAGAAAACGAGCCATACTCTGGATGGGCGAAATCCTGCACCACCAATGATGATTCCCCTCTGAAAACCAAACAAACTTTATGGTTTCAACCATAGCTTTATTTCGTGCCGCGATGTCTGGATTTCGTCTCTGTCCACGGTAGGCCCCCTATCCTCCGAGAAAAACACACCGCTCTCACAGAAGCACGCTGAGCTCTGCCCATAGCTCTGGTGAAAACGGCGGCCGCAGGAACTCGCCGTCGCAAAAGGCCTGCAACTTGTGATCGAAGGGCACAAATTGCGAGTGAGTCTTGTTTTTTATTTGCTTAGCGAGTCAGCCACGCGGGGGTGCGTGTTTTTTTTGGGGGCGGTATCCGTTTTTTTTGGGGGGGGGCTCAAAGGAAACCAACAGTAAACCAACCTCCTACAACATACCTAACCAGGGTTGTGGGGAATGGAATCCACTTCTGTGATACAACAGAAAGGGCTGACCCCAAAGACTAACCCCCCATAAGGGGGAGATTCCAACTTGTATCACAGAAGTGGGGAAAAACCCCTTGATCCCACAACCCTGTACCTAATCGCTTTTCGACCACACCCAGGTAAAATGCCGACAATTCGAGGGGTTCCTGAATCCGTTGCGCAATATTCACGGCATTCACCGCATGACGTTAAGTCTTCTTTTTAGCGCTGGTTCTGACCCATCTTGGGGTGTCCTCTCTCGATTGAAATGAGTGCATGCGGCCTCAATGAGCAACCCGATTTCAAAACGAGCCGCAATCCCATTCACCTTGGGTTGGACCAACGCTGGAACCTTGTGCACGCATCCCCTCGTATTGGCTGTTTGCACCGATACTGCCCCCAAATCAACATGACCGAAGCCTCGCACCTATATGCCATATGCTACTGCATATGATGCACATGTTGTGATCTAGGTCTCAAGGCTGATTAACAGCCCGTTGCTGGCGTATGCTGGCGTGACGTGTCGAGAAAAATGTCGAGCTCTTCCACAATCACCATGAGCTTTTCCACCCACGAAGGCCCTTTGTCCCGCAAAAATCTCTTCTTTCCTGTCAGTGAACCAGTCAGAGTAATTTGTGCTACTCTGTTTTGATTGGTCTTACTTGGTCGCCGAGCTTTCATGAAGAACTACTGTAAATGGCGATTCCGGAGCGACTCAGGATGTGGCCGACTTGAAGTAGCCCTGCTTCACCGCGTCGTCCAGTTCACCTGCCGTGCGAAGTTGCGTCTTCAAATGGCAGGGATTCACATAGGCTGCTTCAAGTCGGATTCCAAAGGGTTGCCTTCGAGAGCCTTGGACAGATCAACATAGTCTCTCATTTTCACATGGTGAACGCACTAAAACGCGGCAAGTATCCTAGTCCGAACGGGGGGGGGGGCCTCACTCAGATCTACCAAATCTGGGTGAATGATTGCCTTGGCCCAGACGCCAGCAACCTTTCCCGGGAAAGGAACAGGTCCGCTCTCTGGTGGCCCTGACAGACGCACGTGAACTGCCCTCATGGCCTGGCACCCCTGACAGGGAGCCACTGAAACCGTGTACCTGAAACATGCCCATCTCTGCTTTGCGCAGAGCTTGCAAGACTTGGCGTAAACCATCAAGCCACTCGGAGGGCAAAAATGACTTAGGATCTTCGAACAACTGTAATCCAAATCTTTTGAAACAGGTTGCTGTCCCAAGCCTGCCATGAAAGCGATCTCAGGGGAAAAGCCCTTCATTGACGGGTCCCATGGTTTCAGGGGTGCATTTGCTGTGCAGGTTTCCTCGTCGTGCTAGGCAGGTGCAACAGCTCTCGTGCAATCACTGTATGCACGCTCAAGGGAGGGGTCGGGACAGAACCCCATCAATCAAGGGTCCTTTCTTGCACTTGGAAAGTCCCTTTTTGGGTAAATCAAGCCGGCGAACATTCTGTTGAGATAGTGTGCAAATTTATCGCATGGTGATGTGTGGCAAAGAAATCTCCCCACACAACACAGCAGGAACACCCAACCAACCCCGTCGGTATGCTACGTCCATCCATGCCAGCTGAGTGTGTTGTGTTGACCCCTTTCATCCCCATTCGGGTCAGGAAAGCAAAAGGAAAATCGAGCCATGTGGCGTTGAAATCCCTATTTTGACACACACACACACACCCAGCCATCCATCAGTCCCCTCTCCATCCGCCTGGGTACCAAGAGCAGCGCCCGAAGACCCAGTGAAGCTTTTCTGCTCCCAAGCGCTTCCACCTGTCGACATTTCGCTGCCAGGTTGTCTCTATGATCAAGCTCTCTCTTGAGTAGACTGGCCAAACAAAGTCTTAAATGTTTTGTGTACCACTAAAATGATCTTGATAAACAAGTGACAAAATGCCCAGACACTCAGGAAGCTTTACGAGTATGTCAAAGGTTTACTATCAAATAATGTGTCAATGGGCGCTTAGGAATAATTAATTCAGCATACTATTATATATATTTCTATATATGGCAACTGCTTAATTACAAATATGGTCTCGATGTAAACAAATGCTGACATGGTTGTATCATAACTGTTTTGTTTAAATTTAAAAAAAAAAAATACTTTGAAACTTACATAAATTAAAACTTCAAAAGAAGAATCAACCATATCATAAATCGATGTTGCATTTAACAAAGACAACATATTGTGTTTAAACTATTCTTGTATTCATCAAATTAGTCAAACATAAGCTTTCTTTAAGGAAACTTCATCTTGGTGGCTCTTTATTTCAGTTGTCTTTCCTCTGATCTGAACCCATCCCGGACCCAAAACGGTGTTCTTTTGGCTTCCCTTTAAATTATTAAAACACAGAGCCCCCTCAACAAAAACGCAGACCCCATACGCCATGCCCACCTTCCCTGCCTCACCAGGTCTGCGGCCTGCGACAGGATCTTCGGGTCAGAGCTCACAAAGATGCCTCCGCATTTGTTTTTGCGCGGACCGCGGCGGCCGCGGTTGCGTTCTCCGCATGTGCGCTGGAGATCGCTGGAGTGTCCAACCCCCAAAAGGTCGAGTTGAAAACCCCAACGCTTGCGAGATTTAAATTGAATCTCTTAACAAGATTCGCGCAAAGGGCTCCAAACTGTTTGTTCGGGGATTCCCCCTTCTCAGCGCAACGATGGGGAACGTGGGCAGCCTCTTCTTGTTGGTTGAATTGCTTGTGAGACGTGCCCTTTGACTCTCGCAGGGTTGCAATTAATCTCAGCCTGCTGTGCGGACCATGGCACAAAGCTGAGTTGGCATGTATCATGGGATTCCCAAGTCTCTCACATGTTTTGAACCTTTACAGAGGATTATTTGGGACCACAGAAGTGGTGGTAAAGCGATTGTGAAGCTCGGATTCCCAGAACCATGAGAAAGCTTCGCAAATGCGCTCTCGCATTTTGGGCCAAACTCCAGGAGTAAAAAACAGACTTCCGTTCCATTCCTACGAAAAGAATGCTAGCCAAAAGCTTCTCAAAGCAAAAAAGCGCTCCAGGGACCAAAAGCCTTCCGCTTCGCGCCCCATCTTTGAGTCTCCTTCACCACTCAACATTTTCCAAACCGAAGGGTGACTTGCCCTGGAAAAAAGTGGGCGGCGCGGCACCGACCAAAAAACCCGAAAAGCCAAGGGCTTTCCGAAAAAGCAGTGGGTCGCTTGCAAAAGGCCCCCCTATTCCTGGGAATGGACATCCAGCTAAGATGGGTTGATTCTTTTGGGAAACTACCTCTCAGGGTACCCCTTCAAAGGTGGGGGTACCGTGCCGAAACGAATCCAAATCCCAGGCTGCAGCCAGGGAGAGAAGTCCACCGCCGCAACTGGACCCACCATTTCCCAGTCAAGGATACCGGATCGCGCCTGATCGCGATCCTGTTTTCAGGAGAAAGACAGATCCAGCAGCAGTTTCTCCACTTTAATCACTTTGGTGGAGGGGTTGTTATGTTGTTCCCGCCCAATCCCAGAGATGCGTCTCCAAAGGCAAAACTTCAAGCAACCTGGGCCCTGAACCAACCAACCAAGCAAGCAAGCAACCAACCAACCAGCCAGCAAGCCAGCCAGCCAGCCAGCCAGCCAGCCAGCCAGCCAGCCAAACCCACCCACCCACCCACCCATCCAAACAACCACCCAGCCAGGGTTTCAGACCCAACTGAGAAATCCCAAACAGCCCGCCCTCACGATCCGCCTGGCGCCAGCTGATCTCCTCCCAACTCCTCCTCTCCGTGCACCAGGGCCAGGCTTTCTCCTCGGGCGCCTCTCACGCGCACGAAAAAAAAACTTTCAACGGCAGCCTTCCAACGCGAACGCCACAGCAACGCCACAGCTCCGGAGATCGGTTCATGGGGGACAACCTCCCCCCCCCCCCCCGGTGTTTGGTTTGTCAAGCTACAAACCAAAAGTTGGAGAGGCTCGGAGGAGTTCGCTGAGCCGAATAGCACGCAGGGGTCTCCAAATGGGATATGGAACCCACCAAAACTCAACCAGAACACAGCACAGAATTACGGCTGCAGCATCCGTATAAGAGATGAGACTCCGAACCTGATCAACAACTTCCAGTCTCAACCATTTGGCTGTGTGACACATGGGTGTTTCTCAAAATTGGGGACCCATGGGGCGTGATCTCTGTTTGGTTTC